TTCTTTCTTTCTTTCTTTCTTTCTTTCTTTCTTTCTTTCTTTCTTTCATGGTTTCTATTTCTTTGTTGAACTTCTCATTTTGTTCTTGTGTTATTTTCCTAACTTCGTTTAGTTGTCTGTGTGTTCTTGTAGTTCACCAAACTTATTTAAGAGGATTATTCTGTTTGTTTATTTATTTATTTAAGTTTTTGATTTTAATTCCTGTATAGTTAACATGCAGTGTTATATTAGTTTCCGGTGTACAATAATAGTGATTCAACAATTTTATACATCACCCAGTGCTCATCATGATAAGTGTATTCTTAATCCCCTTCACCTATTTCACCCATCCCCCCACACACTTCCCCTCTGGCAACCATCAGATTGTTCTCTATAGTCAAGAGTCTGTTGGGGTGCCTGGGTGGCTTAGTTGGTTAAGCATCCTACTTCTGCTCAGGTCATGATCTCACAATTTGTGGCTTCAAGCCCTGCATAAGGCTCTATGTCAAGAGCTCAGAGCCTGGAGCCTGCTTCAGATTCTGTGTCTCCCTCTCTCTCTGCCCCTCCTCCACTCTCTCTCTCTCTCTCTCTCAAAAATAAACAAACATTAAAAATAAATAAATGAAAGTATTCTGTAAAAAAAAGAGTCTGTTTTTTGGTTTCTCTCTCTCTCTCTAAAGGATTATTCTGAATTCTTTGGTAGACAGTTCATAGATCTCCATTTCTTTTGGGTCAGTCATTGAAGCTTTATTAGTTTCCTCTGGTGGTATCATGTTTATCTGATTCCTTGTGATCCTTGATCCCTTCCATGGGTATCTACACGTTTGAATAAGTAGTCTCCACTTTCAGACTTTACAGGTTTGCTTCAGCAGGGAAAAACCTTCATCAGTTAGCTCAGCTTGGGGTACTGAACAGGTCAGCTGGTAACGTTCATAGCAGGTGGAGCTTGCTGTTTTGGTCTCTGCCTGTGTTCTCAGGGTGACACTGGCTGGGCTATGTGGTTAGATAGGCCTGTTGGCTTGCCTTCACACTCAGGCAGGGGCCACTGGGTGGGCTTCCTGATCTGGCAGAGCTGCTGGCTGTTGTCAGGTGAGATAGCTAGATAACTAGTTATACTCTGCAGTTACTTCTGGTTGAGCAAGGTCACAGACTTTGTTCCATGGCAGGGTAGTTCCACTGGTTGAATTGTGTGATTGGGTAGATATCAGCTCAAGTACAAGGAAGTGTGTGCTGCCTGGAGGATTCATTTACTCACTCAACATTTGGGAGCACCTTTATGGGTCAGAGGTGGGGAAACAAAATGAACAGAGCCCAGCCTACAACCCCATCCTGCAGCAGAACAGAGCCTACAGCCTTACTCAACTGCTTAGCATAGCCTATCGCCTCACCTAGGCAGGCAGTCCAGCTAGAGACCCTGCACATTCTCGGATCATAGCCTGTAGCCCCATGCAGTAAAGGAGCCTGGACAGTTTCCCTGCTTGACTGTGAAGTCCAGCCTCTAGACCCACCCAATTTCAGGATATAACTGAGGGCTCCTCCAATCAAGGAGCTCAGCCGGTGACCTTGCCCAACAGCAGAGCATGGCCAGCAACCTACCTGGCCATCCCCAGACTATAGCCCACCCAACTTTAGGGCATAGTCTGCAACCCCACCTGATTGCAGAGAAGAGCTTGACTTCCCTTCCAACTGGAAAGCCCTGCTGTAGCCCTGCTTAAAGATGGAGTCCAGCCAGTGGCACTATCCAGTCATGTTGCACAGCCTAGTACCCCACTCAGCCAGAAGTGACTGTAGAAACCAAACTAGTGCACATGAAATGGTATCTCATTTCAAGCTGAAGAACTTGGACTGAAGCTGAGAACTTGTATTGATCCATAGTTGAGGCTTTTCTAGGAGGCTCCATGGAAAAAGAAAGCCCTTATGCATGAGAGTGATGGCAAGTAGATGGTTGAATGAAGTGATGGGCCAGGGAATGAGTTAAAGAAATTAAAGAAAGGACATATATGAAGGAACTATAAAACTCCATAAGGAGCATAAGGGAAACCTTAAATTAATGAAAGAATCAATATTGTAAAGGCGTCAATTCTTTCAAAATATCATATGCAAATGAAATATAAATCCAGTAAAAATCCCAATGAAAAATTTTTTGAAGGATTTACTAAAAGAATTACAAAGTTCAGATGAAATAATAAATGCATGAGAACACCCAGTGAAGATGAGGACTTATACAGGAGATATTAAAACTTACTATAAACTTAGTAAACAGTGTGGTTTTAGTAATGGGATAAGCCAATGGGCTGATGGAAAAGATGACCCAGTTTAGATAGGAATTTATTTTAAGATAAAGATGACATTGTATCCTCAGAGTTGAAAGCATGGATAATTTCATTAATGGTGATATGGTGATTGGCTAACTATATTAAGAAAGTGAGGTTATGTTCTTGTCTCACACCTTCCAGCAAAATAGAGATGGATTAAATATTTATGAGGAAAAACATATCCATAGAACATTAGAAAAGAGACTTTGCCATCATGTGGGGTTTAGATTTTGTGGGAGGGGAGGGAGATCAGAGATACAGAGAAAGCCATGCAAAGACACATGGGACAGGAGGCCATGTGGAGAGACACAAGGAAGACAGATCATGTGAAGATACCCAGAGAAGGAAGACTATGTGAAGATGGAGGCAGAGACTGGAGTGATGCAGCTATAAATAGAGGGATAGCAAGAATTACTGGGACACCAGAAGCTAGTATGCAGGAAGGAATAATATTTTCTCAAAGCCTTCAGGGGAGCATGGCCCTACTGAGACCCTGATTTTGGACTTCTGGCCCCCAGAAGTGCAAGAGAATAAATTTCTGTGTTGAGGCCACCAAATTTGTGGTAATTTGTTATCACAGCCCTAGGAAATGCATGCAGTGACTAATCCGATTTGATTTGATAGAGGGAGTAGTCAGAAACATTACTGAGTTTTCTAAAAAATTGATACCATAACCTGTATTTGATTATTCAGTTCTTGGGAAGACAAGAGGTTCAATTTCATGGTTAGGGGAATCCTCATAGATCTGTATGATGAATTTGAGATATCTGGACTGGTCCCACGGGGACAGGAATTTTGTCTTAGTTACCCCTGATTCCCCAGCATTTAGAACACTTAGAGCAGAACATAGCCTACATCCAGTACCTCCTTAAGGAATGAATTAATAAATAGAGAATATACAAAGATACAAACTGTGTCAGTTTTTAAAACGTCGGAGTCTTTGGTTTTGGAAAAAAAAAAAATCAACATGTGGTGGGGACAATAGGACCAGAAGAGCTGCAATTCCCTAGGTCCTGCACATGTCTTTAGTCTATAACCCATGGTGGCTTAGAGGGGAAGGAAGTGTCAGTTCATAGTTAGAGCCACTGCTACAATTCAGTGCTGCTGAAATAGTACCTTTGCTCTCCACTGTCCTGACATATGGCTTAAAGCTGCATGTCAAAGAGGGAAAGAACCATCCTTGCAACTAATGACATTAAAACACCAGTTTGATCACAGTGTTAGTGCACCAAATAATAGTTCCTTAATTTTACACATTGAGTAAAAATGTATTCATCTGGCAGTTATTGGAAAACATACTTATTGTATGCTGAGCACTGTGCTAGGCTCTAGGGTACAGAGACTAAAAATGTGTCTACAGGTTGTTGGGGGCAAGAGGCTAGACAGATACATAATTTTGATATAGTGTGATAACATGCCATTGTTATAAGCTTAGGATCCTGAAGGAGACTGGAGCAAGGTCTGCTTAGGTGGAAGTAGGCATCTTAGAGTTTAAGACAAGAATAAGTTCTATTTGGGCTGTATTTTGTATTAGCAAAATAGTTGGTTTACCTCATGAAATAATTTGAGGGTGCTGAATATTCACAGCTGCCCAAAATAACTATGGCTGAATAATGCCTGAACTTCTATCTTGGAATTTGTCTTGTATATTCCAGGAGTTCTCTTAAAAAAATTTTTTTTTACACTTACTTATTTTTGAGAGACAGAGACAGAGCACAAGTGGGGGAGGGGCAGAGAGAAGGAGACACAGAATCCGAAGCGGGCTCCAGGCTCTGGGCTGACAGCTTAGAGCCTGACGTGGGGCTCGAACCCACAAACCGTGAGATCATGACCGAAGCCGAAGTTGGACGCTTAACCGACTGAGCCACCCAGGTGCCTTTCAGGAGTTCTCTTTGAGAACTGGATTGTTCTGTAGGACTTTATGAGGTGTCTAATTAGGTGTCTCTACTTTGTTGGGGATTGATTTCCCAAGTTGGTCTTGAAGGGAAGAGCAATGACAAAGGATGGAACAGAGGATTGGTAAGTATAGAGGGAGAGGTTAGAGAAGAGGACTCTCTGGGACCAGAGAGAGCACTGGGCATTTAAAGAGAAGGACTGCAAAGAAAGAGAGGAGAGAGTCCCTAGAAGGAGCACCAAAGATAGTTGGGGAAAATCCCCAGCTTTCCCTTGGGCTGGGTCTGCACAGTGCTCTCACCCAGCATGCTGGCCAGCCACAATGTACATAGAAAGGGGACCGTGGGCTATGCTGTCCTGAATAACTGTGAACTCTTGGCTCTTCTCTTTGGGAGTGGAGAAAGAGACTAGATTTCTATAAATGTAAGTTTCTATATTCTGGGTATTAGAATGCATTTTAGTTGTTGGGACAATATCTTTGTTAATCCAGTGAAGTGTCTTATACATATGGATAATCAATAATTTGATGGTGTGATGGGAGTACAATCAATACATGTGCTTGCCCATTTACCCAGGCTCTTTGTTGATAGCTGTGAATGTTACTTGCTAGTATTAAAATATTTTAATTTTTGATAACTTGGACTCTCTTTGCTCTGATGAACCAGTTAGAAGTATTGTCAGAGAAAACCCAAATTTGCTGTCATTTTCAGTCATGAATGAATCTCTGATTGCCACAATAAAGAAAAATCCTGGGTCCCTGCCTTCTTGCTTGAATTCACACAAATATAACATTCCGTCTTGATCAGAAGATACCAAAGGTTGAACATAAACAAAAACATACAAAGCACTTCATCACTCTGAGGAGATACTTAATTTTCATCAGTCAGGAAAGACACAGACACCAAATCAAAAGTGTTTACAAGATTTTAGTGAGTCTCTGGTTATTTTATTTGTACTGGCTTTTAACTATATCCCCCGAGCTACTGTTGGTTGGCAGATCTTGAATATTAGCTTTAGCTTTTCTTATTCCTCACTCCTGCTTTGGAGTAATGTCTTCACTTCATTGCCTATATAGCTTTGGTAGGTACAATTAGTCACGGGTATGCATTCTTGATTATCGGAAAAACTTCATAGTAATGACTCTGTTATTCATTTATTCAGCAAACATCAACTGAGTATTAGCTACGTGCAGAGAACTATGAGAAATGCTAAGGGGAAACAAAGATATGTAAGTCATGGTTCCAACTATGTGTAAAGGCCCTTGGATGGCATAAATAATCATAGAATACCTGTCTTTACCTCAAGATGTTATAACCCTACTGATTAATACTATGGGCCTAATCATCACTTCTCTTTTCAAAGACCTCCAGTGGCTCTCCATTTTCCCCACAGTAAAGTCCATATTCCTCAGCAGGATACTCACATTTCTTCATACTCTAGTTCTATGCCACCTTGATATACTCATCTCCCAGGTCTTCCCATATACGGTGTTTGAATTTTTTTTTTTTCCCTTTTCCCAAATTCCATGTTCTTCGCTACATTTGTGCTTTTAGTACTTTGTTTTCTCTGCTTAGACTTACCTCCCTTATTTTCACTGACTGGTAAACTTGTACACATTCTTTGAAACCAGCTCCTCTGTTACCCTTTTTGTAAGACTTTAATCCAATCTTCTCCCTTCCCCCAGGGGCAGAGTTGGCATCTGGGCTTGTGCTATAACAGCAGGGATGCAGGACCATTTTGGGGAAAAGTCATTGGTGCCCAGAGTATTGGCTTTTCTGGTTTAGCCCAGGCTGGTTTGGCCCTCTCTAGAACGATGTCAGTATTCATAAAGGTGAATTCTAGAGACCCTTAAGGAAAACTCTCCCTATTTCTGAGGCCTCCGGAATCCCTTGTGAATGTGAAGGACCTGGAGTGTGGCTTTTAGCTCTTGTACACCTGGGTAGGCTCTTGTTCTGCCTCCTTATATTTCATAGTTTGTATCTATACAACACTCTCTGAGAGCATGATAGTGAATTGTAGCTATTAACTCCATGGAAATGCATTGTCCTGGATATTATTTCTGGTATGTTTTAATATTGCTATGTAATTTGTCCATAAAATGCACGTGTTCATAATAAAATATGAATGGGTGTCTGTTGAAGGAAAATGATTGTTGGTCAACAAGATGATGACGGGACACTGTAGGAGCTTGTTGTTTAAGTCTTCATTGGGTCACCTTCCTTAGGATCTAGAGGAGATAATGAAGTCGATTTGGTTAAGGTGTTTTCTGTTGCAACCCCAGAGAACAGTGATTAAATTAGAACCACTTAAGTGGTTTGTAGTGGACTAAATGATTGAAGTGTGGAGTTACTCTAGCATGGAAAAGCAATCATGGCAAGGTATTTCTTTTTTTTTTTTTTTAATTTTTTTTAACGTTTATTTATTATTGAGAGACAGAGACAGACAGAGCATGAGCATGGGAGAGCAGAGAGAGGAGGAGACACAGAATCCAAAGCAGGCTCCAGGCTCTGAGCTGTCAGCACAGAGCCCGACGCAGGGCTCGAACTCACGAACTGCGGGATCATGACCTGAGCCAAAGTTGGCTGCTTAACCAACTGAGCCACCCAGGCGCCCCTGGCAAGGTATTTCTATATGTATATGGTTCTCTGGTAAGCACTCGGGTACTGAGGTGATTAATATACAACTTTGTCCTTTTGGAGAGAAAAAAATTCAAAGAAATATGTCACAAAAGTGTTGAGTGCTCTAATAGAGGCTTGTGTTTGATTCTTGGGGAGTACCAGGTTGTCAGTGGAGAACAGCATTAGGGTATGAGAAGAGGTGGGGTTGAGTGAAGACTTTTTAGAATTTGGGCCTGGAGTAGAGTACTGAGAGCAGTAGAGCCTTGGAATTATCTCTCTGCATAGTGGACAAAGGGACTGTCTTGGTCAGGGTCAAGAGGGATAATTGGAGAAAGTTGAATGAAGGCCTGGTTACAAAGGTGGTGGGCAGGGCTAAAAGAAACCAATGGGAGATGGTAGAGCACCCAGGAGCTAGAAACAACTTTACTGCTACTAAATCCAAAGAGGGGCAAGAGGAGGGGGCTTTATGAGAATGGAACTGTGGCTGTAGGAGAGAGGATCACCCCACAGCAATTGTGCCCTTCAGTAGAGGAACACAACCACTGCCAAATTCTGGCCTGGAAAGGAGATAGAGCCAGAGGAATACACTTCTAGACAATTTCTCTATTGTACCTTCTTCTGCTAGTGTCTCTCATTGGCCCAACCCAATCA